GGCACATCTTCTTTTCGAGAACTCATCACTTAGAAATCCCAAAGTTAAGCGTGCTTGACCTAGAGACTTCTTAGGATGGGTGACTCCCTGTGAAGTTCCTTGGGCACGCACGAGTGGGGACAAAGTGTGCGGGATAGTACTACTCATACCAACAAGGTGCATCTTCTTTTCGAGAACTCATCACTTAGAAACCCCAAAGATAAGCGTGCTTGATCTGGAGACTTCTTAGGATGGTTGACTTCCTGGGAAGTTCCTTGGGCACGCACGAGTGGGGACAAAATGCGCTGGAAAGACTTGTGTTGGTATGTGGACTAGTCTACAATTATATGAGCGGATGCTTACAGCCAGAGTGGGGGCTGGGGTGTTACAAATGGTATTAGAGCAATCCTGTGACGTTGCATTCCTAAGTGGGGGTGAATGTAATACCCCATGTTAAGATGGGAATGAGAAGAGCTCAAAAGGAATGATAGCACTATGCATACCAACAAGGTGTATCTTCTTTTCAAGAACTCATCATTTAAAAACTATAAAGTTAAGCGTGCTTGACCTAGAACAATCCTAGGATGGGTGACCCCCTGGGAAGTTCATTGGGCGAGCACGAGTGAGGATAAAGTGTGCGGGAAAGGCTTGTGTTGGTTTATGGGGCTAGTATATAATTATATGAGTGAGTGCTTACAACAACTAGGGTGGGGGATGGGGTGTTACAGGTCATGGTACATCAATATTAGTGCCAAAAGCTTCCTTTCATTGTGGAGTCCAGAACAGTGATGTTCAATGCAAAACATTGATGTTGGCTTCTGATCATTAGAGGAAATTTAAGATAAAATCTTTGCTTAATTGGATGTCAACACCCCTAACAGCAATGTTGCCTCTACAATATCGATGTTAAGGTGATCGTTTGACAATTTATATGGAAAGTTAAAGCCAAAACAGCGATGTTCAGTACTTGAACATCGATGTTAGGTCTATTTTCAGTAGATCCAATTTTGATTTAATTCTCACAAATCATGCCAATCAACTACAATCTTCTTCCAGACGTTGTGCCTCATTTTTGGATATAAAAAGGGGTCTCTTGGGTTTACTTTAACACACAATTCTTCACAACTTCATTACTCTTTCATTGCATTGTTTAAACACATTTTCCATAGCTTTTGAGAGTTATTTCGTGAAGTTTTTGTTGTGTTCTTTAGTTTACTCATCATATAGTCTTTAGGAGAGTTTTGTTCTTGTGTTCTAAGTGTAGTACACACTTGAAGGGAGTCTTGTTCCCTTGGTTGTACGAAGGAAGAGTATATTCCTTTGTGTTGAAGTCATGGAGTGCTGTATCTCCGAGCAAGCGTCGTTGAGGCTCGTGTGACTCGACTTCTCAAGTTGTACTAGTTTGTTAAGCACCCGTAAGCTTAACTAAGTAAGAGATCGAGAGTCTCTCCTTGGACTGGATTATCCACATGTTGTGGTGAACCAGTATAAATTTGGTGTGCCTTCCTTTATGCTCTTTACTTTCCGCTTACTCTATTTTAATTTCATGCGATTTGTTTCAAACGCTATTCACCGCTCTAGCGTTGGGACTTTATTCTAACAACTATTAGTATGTGTAGAGTAGTAGGAAGCTCATTCCCCAGGATTCTGGAGAAGTTCACTCGGGCTCAATTCCTAGCGGATGGAGGCATTGACTCTTTGTGCATCATTAGGTTGAAAATAATATTGACAGATACAACCTTGTAATAGAGTCAATAACACTAAAAAAGGAGCATTAGTATATTATTGTTATTATTATTTTATCATGAAATCAATTCATTTATTTATTGAACTGTAACATCTATTTTGCTCATAACTTTTTATACATTATTCCAAACTTGACAAAACAATATATTATTGGTAATCCTTTCGCAAGGCCTACTCAACGATACCAATATTGAAAATATTATTTTGACTTTAGGACATACTTATATTCTATTTTACTATCTTTTCGCTCTTGGGGCGGTCGAGTTACTAAATTTTGTAACTTGGATTCACACACGGAACACACATTGGACTCATCTCATCGAAACCTACAATTCATATATAAATTTGACCACAAAAAGATAAGTTTGAAAATATCTTATATTAGCCATGTCATTTCAATTCTTATTAGATTTAGGTGAAAAATAAGATTTACAATTTATTAAAATTTTATTATTAAATTCTAGATATTTTTTGAAGCGTTACACGCACATATACAAAAGAATATATAGAACAACCTCACAAACTTTCATGGTGAAGAAGATCCGAAAATATCTTATATTAGCCATGTCATTTCAATTCTTATTAGATTTAGGTGAAAAATAAGATTTACAATTTATTAAAATTTTATTATTAAATTCTAGATATTTTTTGAAGCGTTACACGCACATATACAAAAGAATATATAGAACAACCTCACAAACTTTCATGGTGAAGAAGATCTCATAGACTTCTTATTTGTCACCCCAGAGATTGGAACGACCTCATATACTTTCTATTACTCTATTTTTCGTTGTAAAATTGTAATCAATGTAATTTTTGTTTTATTTGACATGCTTTTACTTGATTTAATTTATAAGTCCAAAAGCCTAATGGGCAGCCCGGCTCACCAAAATGGGCGGATACCGGCATATCTTTTAACGCATATAATTTGGGTCTGGCCGGGCCTCCCCATAGAATGGAAAATTATTTCAAGTTAAGCCCAACCGAAGTCTAGCCTTGATATGTATTTACACATGTCTATTCAACATAATGCTATAAATGATATCATCCAAGTATATCATGACATATTTATCCCGAAACAATTGTAAGAATCGATTCATGAGTGTGCATAATGTTGCCAAAGCATTCATGAGTCCAAAAGGCATCACAAAAAATTCATACGGACCATACCTTGTGGCATATGTCATCTCGGGCTAGTCTCCCTCGATTGTCCTAACTTGATGGTATCCAGACCTCATGTCCAACTTAAAAAACCGTCATGTTTGGCCATGTTGATCAAATATATTATCAATATGCGGAATTAGGTACTTGTTCTTTACCGTGATCTTGTTGGCACCCGATAATCGTTGCTTAACTGAAGTGATCATGTCCATCGTGCTTTTTCTGAAACAAAATCGAGGCTCCATATGGTACTTTTGATGGATGAAATATACCCCATGTCAACGAACTCCCTCAGTTGCCTCCTAAATTCTTCACGCTTCGTAGGTGCCATGCGGTACGCCATTATTGAAGGTAAGGTAGCACCAAGCACCACCTGAATCATGTTGTCCAACTCTCTCTTTGATTGCAACCATTTTGGAAGCTCGACGGTATCACATCCGCGAACTCCTCCAACACATGCTTGATAGTCCTCGGGAGATCTTTAGTGGGTGGAACGTCAATTTCCTTCTTTAAGGAAACAACGTATGTAAGCTGCTTCTCCGTGATACCTTTGTAGAGCTACATGGGATAGATATGCTTATTTTTGATTCAGGCTTCCCGTTCAATTTAAAGGGTACCAGTTGGAGATTACCTTCTTCCCAAATGTACATCGTGTTGGCAAAGGCGATGAAAATGACCTTGAGCTTGTCCATGAACTCCATAGCCAAGGTGATTAGATAGACATTCACGGTGACAACTAAGAAGTCTATGAGGCCATTCCAATCTCCTAAGTTTACCTTTACATCACGTGAAACTCCAAGGGAGGTCTTCTGTTCTGAGTTAACTGCCTTATGCCATCCACATTCTCCTTGGTAGCGAATGTCTAACTTCTTTGCCTCTTCCTCTCTGAGAAAGTTGTTGGAAGTTTTCTGTGTTTACAAGTGATTTCACCATATGTCCTCCAATCTTAGCTTCCACAAAAAAAATTGTGAAGTCATGATGCAAGTTGGAAAATCTAATATATCCAAAAATTACAAAATGTTTGTGTGGTGAATATATTTTAGAGTTGTGCTAGTGTAACCTCACAATTTTGATATCATCATTGATCTATGCAATTAAAAAATGTCAATATCTATTCACACGCACAAAATGTCAATATCTATGCAATTTTTTATCTATGCACACACACAAATAAAAAATGTCAATGTCACACTAACAATTAACTTATGTCTATAGCATACTATAGTTGTGTAAAGAACCATGCTACACTTACACTAAAATTTGTATCCCAAACTTACACCAAAGATATACACCAACATTTTGATGATTCACATTGACACAAAATGTTGGTGCGTTAACAAAAATTTACACTGACACAAAGTGTTGGTGCGTTAATAAAAATTAGCATTACACCTACACAAAATGTTGGTGTACACTTGCGATGTATAAATGAGATACAAACCCTTGGAGTACAAATAGCTTTATCTTTGCGTAAAATATGTGGTCAATGGTAGTATCAAAATTGTGGAGCTATCATGACTTTGTTTTTTTTAAAAAAATATTGAGTAAATCTATTTGTACCCTAAGGATTTGTACCGCATTTTGTACGCCGCAGGAATGCACCAACATTTGTGTTGGTGTAATGCTAATTTTTGTTAACGCACTAATACTTTGTGTCGGTGTAAATTTTTGTTAACGCACCAACACTTTGTGTTAGTGTGAACCATCAAAATGTTACTGCATACCTTTGGTGTACAAATGTGGTACAAATTTTTAGGGTACATGTAGCATGCTCCAAAAATATTTTATGGGATTGAGAGTACCTGTAACACCCCGACCCCCACCCTGAGTGCAAGTGTCTGCTCATAAGATTGTAGACTAACTCACAAACCAACACAAGTCTTTCTCGCACACTTTGTCCTCACTCGTGCGAGCCGAAGGATTTCCCAGGGGAAACTCATCCTTAAATTGCTCTAGGTCAAACACGCTTAACTTTAGTGTTTCTAGGTGATAGAGCTTTCGAAAAGAAGTTACACCTTGTTGGTATGAATAGTACTTTTTCTTTTCCCAATTAATTTATTTTCAAATTAGGGTATTAGAGTACATTCTTTGGTACATACTCCAAGAGTCCAGAACTGCAGTCATCAAAAGATGTAGGCGCTCAGTCATCACCACAGCCAAGAAAAGTAAAGAGAATTCCTCAAAAACAACAAAAAGAGGGCCTCCAAAGTCATCACCCATCTTTAGCCCTTTGATCCTCTCCTCTCCCGCTCTCCAATCTTCATCTTCTCTGTCAACCCTTCAATTTATTGTTCTTTTTGGATTGTCGTCACCCTTCTCGTGGGTTTTGATCGGTATCGCTATACGATCAGGTAATTTGCATTAATTTTTGTTTGTTCAGAACTGGATTAAGTTTCTTTGGATTCACTTGTTTTCCAGCAACTTGCAATTTATATCTAGGGTTAAAGCACATTAGTCATCGCCGGCCATGAGTTTTAATTTAGGCCTTTCATTTGCCCAATTAGTGAAGAATATCTTTATTTAGGCCTTTCATTTGCCCAATTAGTCAAGAGGATCTTTACTTAGTGGAAATTCTTTAAATATAAGAACAGAAAGCTACAGATGTTATATGGTTCTTCTTCATTTTGATATTCCAATTATTGGCTCATATTGTTGGTGATTGATGGAAAGCTTTTAGCTTTTTGTATATCATTACTCAAGATTGGATTTTTATGCAGATGCCCCATATTTGGGAATTTGATTGTGTTTAGTTTCATTTCGTTAATTTTTAAAATCCTCCATGCCATTTTTGAAGGTTTAGGGTTCTTTTAGATGGAGGGAGGAAATGAGTCTGAGAACCACTTGAGTTCAGCTGCAGCTTTTGTGGAAGGCGGAGTTCAGGAAGCATGCGATGATGCTTGCAGCATATGCCTCGAAACTTTTTCCGATAATAACCCTTCGTCTGTATGTGTTAGCTTTTTTTGTTGTCAGCTCTCGTGAATTCAAATTGGCATCCTCTTGTTAGCATTAGTTTCCTTCCATTTGCAGGTTACTGTTTGCAAGCACGAGTTTCACCTGCAGTGTATCCTCGAGTGGTATGCTTTATTTATGCCCTACATTTTAACATATCATATCAACAAGTGCTGCATATTTATTGCAGCTTCTATAGGAACACATTTTTAGGGTATTTGAATACCGAAATGATTCATTGTAGGTATCTTCAGGCTTGAGCATCCAACTTTTTATCCAGCATAAAGATGTCCCTTATGAATTTTTTTTACATGAATCTGTAGTATTAACTAATTTTAAACAAGTAATTGACTCCATAAAATTAATGCAACCGATCACAATATAGTTAGGTTCAATCTTATTTTGCAGGGGACAGAGAGGTTCGCAGTGCCCTATGTGTTGGCAAAATCTTAGCTTGAAAGACCCAAACAGGTTTCTCTTCACTTTCTAAGGCCATTGACTAAGTTGACCTTTTTTAATATAAGAAATACTCTAGAATTTGATTTCTTCATCTCTCTTCTCTTGACGTGCTGTGACTATGCGATGCCTGCAGCCAGGAACTGTTTGATGCAGTGGAGCATGAAAGGAATGTGAGGATGAACCCGCCAAGAAACACCACAATTTTCCGTCACCCAACTTTGGGAGATTTTGAATTGCAACATGTTTGTAGTTTTGTTATACTTTCATCTACATATTTTTGTAGTTGGTAAAATATGTATATACTTACTGTGTTGATTGACTTTCATTTGGAGCAGTTACCAGTAAGTGCGACAGATTCTGAGCTGGAAGAGCGCATTATTCAACACTTGGCAGCAGCGGCTGCTATGGGTAGGGCACGTCACCTTGCAAGGAGAGGTCAGAGGGGTGGTAGGTCATCATCTCAAGGTCACCCTCATTTTCTGGTGTTTTCCACTCATCCAAATTCATCTCCCGCCATTTCTGACTTCTCTACTCAGATAAGTGGAGGTGAACCTTCCCACCCTGCCCTCCTTGTTGAAGGTTCTCAGCAATTGGTTTCGCAACCATATTCTGCCCAAGTCGATCAGGTTTCTGCCTCTACGGTAGGTCAACTGGGCACTTCATCAGTTAATAACAGGTATTTTCTCAACACTGATAGTCCATGTTTGGAACATGGTAAATTGTAGGGAAAGGAAGAAACTACTAAGGATAGTAATTTTGTTATTTATGGGTTTTCCTTTTAAAAGATGAAGGAAAATCTAGTGTGATAAAAACTTCTTAAAATTTTATGGTATGTTGCAGGGAGACGGGGACAATACTCATATGGGGATTGGGTTGGGAAGGGGGCGGCATTAACTTTTCTAAATTTTTACAAGGGATTTGGGTAATGGGGCGTCTTCAAGTACCCAATGGGGGACATTTCAGGGAGCAACACTAATTTGAAGAATCCGTGCAACATAGTTTTTTTGTGTATTTTGATTTCTTACTCTCTATACAATTAAATTGTTCAAATAAATTGAGTTTGAACAAATAACCAAAATTGATTTATTGAGTTTGAACCCATTTATTAGTCTTCCCATAAAAACCAATTTTCCGCTCTCTATATATTCCCCTAGTTTCCTTCCCTAGCATTTTCTGGATTAACGTCCATTGCTCATGGAGCTAAAAGACTCATTTTTAAATTTTGACAATGTTTAGCTTACTAAATAACGGACTAAATCAAATTTGCAGAGTGAACTTTCTGTTCTTACTTCTATGTAGTCTTCGGCAGTAAAATGTAACAATGCATCAACCTCTATTTTTGGAGGGCAAACATTGCATGCCTTTAGACCCCATCACAGTTGGGATTTTACTGGGATGTTTTTTCTTGTTGCTTGCTCACACATGCATTTTACTTCAATACTTCATTATGTTTTTCTCACGTGTTCTTATTTTTAAGTTTCTTTGAAAAAACACATTGTAGGAGTTCCCCTTCTCATTCGTTTCCTCAAAATCAAAATAGAGCTGGACCATCCGACTTCCAGTCTTTTTCAGAATCTGTAAAGTCAAGGCTAAGTGCAATGTCAATGAGGTACCACTGAAGCTGCATTTTATTTTAACTTGTACCTTTTTTCACGATTTCCCAGTGTAAAAATGACATTCCCCCCCCCCCTTTTTTAGATACAAAGAGTCCATCACCAAGAGCACAAGAGGTTGGAAGGAGAGATTTTTCTCCCGAAATAGTTCTGTATTAGATCATGGTCCTGAATCTAGGAACAGGGCTAGTTCAGATATTTCCACTGTATCACACCTTATGCGGCAACTTGCACCTAGGCAGGAGGCTAGTAGTACAACCCCTGTTTCTTTATCAAATAGGCGAGTGGAAGATTTGTCAACTTTACAGGAGTATCGTTCTGAGGAGCGAATCTCGGAAATTGGTGGTAACCGTTCTTTAGGAGAGATTTACCATCAAACTCCACCTCCACCTGCTACTAGCTCTGCTTCAATCTGAGTTTTGTTGGACAAGGTACTGCATTTTTACTTAAAGGCAACTCATAATTTAGTGTCTTGTAATTCGATTGTTTTACCGTAATATTTTACAAAGAGTCGTGTTTGGCGAGTTTTTTCTAAAGAAGAGGTTCTTGGGGAAGAAAAAGAGGTTGGGCCATAGGATAACTTGGAAGTCAATTAGCGTTAGCGTTTTGGATAATTTTTTATGATGCAGATTAAATTTGAAAATGCTAAAGCTAAACGCTGGGATTAAATAGTCTTTTCAAAATGCTTCGCTTCTCAAGTTCTTTTGGAAGATCTATCTTTCAAACTTTGTTTTCAAAAAGACAATTTTTCAAAAATTTTGGAAAAACTATGCAAATTGCTTAAACAAAAGCTGGTTGGTAATCTAGACCAATTCTTTTAACTAGGTTGTTACTGTTGTTGTGCAGTTGTTGCTGGCTACAAGACTGGTAATCTTGGGAGGAGTGGTATGCATGCTTCACAGCCTCCATAGTCAACATATGATCTATGAGCAACAGTTTAATTTTTTATATGTAATTTGTTTCATATGTTGCAAATTATGTTTATGGTTATGTCTTGTTTTTCCTTTTTCTTCATCAGACTGAATTTATTCACAGTTTATTAATCAGATGTAATTGCATTATAATGAGCATTTGATTTAATTGAAGGCACATTATTTTTACTTCATATACTGACAATGTTTAGCTTCTGCTAAATAATGGGCTAAATCAAAATGGCACATTAAACTTTTTCTTACTACTTTCTATGAAGTTTTTGAAGGTAAATGAAACAATGTGTTTAGCCTAATGGAAACAATCTCTCTGTTTTTTCAGTCCCATTAATGGAAGTGGATATAAAATCTTTTGCTGGTAGTTTAGATTTGATCTTGTGATGCTTGAAATGTACAAGCATATCTGGATTAACAAAATGCAGAAGTTAAAATTAGTTCAGAATGATGTTAATCATTGAATGGTGTGAGGACCTCAATTTGTAATAAATGACTATTAGGTTATTGTTATTAATTACGTATAATATTTCCAAATGGGCAAATGTCATCTCTCATCCAAGAACTATTTATTTTAGATGATTTCTTTTCGGAAAACCATCAATTTTGACACGGGGTTTGAGGAACGGTTAATTTGACACTGGTTTTGAAAGACAATCCATTTTGCAAATGAATCCGTAAAAACTTCAATTGGGCGAGTGTTATTGGAACCCAATGGCATGTAACCTTTTCAAGTGTATCATTGCATAAAACGACATCGGAAAAAAAACTGTCGAACATGTCAAAGTGCCCGTTTAGCAACAACCTTAGCTTCACAAAAAACTAAGTAACGATATCATTTAACTTTTACGTTTTCATAGATAGTTTGTGTCACTAAAAAATTATTCAAAATGCTAACTGAAAGCATTTTCCCAAAACAGACACTAAATAGCTAAATGAGGAAAAGAGGAATGATTCATTGCATGAAAGAGATACTTGCAATAGTTTCAATGATTCTCCTTGACAAAGATATTGGAGTGCCATGAGTTCTTGACCCTTAGCCTTTGAACAACAAAAAGGGCAAAAAGAACAAGAGAAGAAACTCCTACTCAAACTTCTTGATCATGGACAGGTCGTTCAACATCTTCTCAATCACCTCATCATCCAACGACCGTCCTCTGTTCTTGAGAGATGGGACCATGGCAATGGCTTCCTCGACGGTTTCCGGGCAAAGGTTTCCCAAAACACAAAGCTCAAACTCGGCAAGTTGGTATCTGCTGAGGATTTCCCGAGCTTGTCTTACGGCATCTGTGGTCTTGAAGGAGCTGAACCGCTTCACATACTGAAGCGACTTCTCAAACACTCTGAAGCACAAAAGATATGTTGCGTTAGGACAGCAAAATATGACCACGGAAACACTTACTAGTATAAAGATTACTTCCATATTTGAAACATTTAGAAACAGGACACGATCACGAGACTTACTGAGAAATATGGGTTGTTGGATCCTCGGACATCTGCTGAAGCTGCTCATACTTGTGCTCCAGAATCAAAGCGACCTCACAGTTCATGAGACACTTGGCCTTGAGAAAGTCTGAAATCAGATGGAAAACATATCACTTCTTGGTCCCAAATTTAAGTTCATATTTTGACATTTGTATCCAAAGGTTGTAAATTTTGAACACAATTTAGTGGAGTATAAATTACACTGAATCATATTTCAGATTACATTATATTTATAATAGTGATTTGTTTTAAGTAGTCGAATCCCAAACTAAACCCTATGCATGCTCAAGAGTCAAGAACCTAAAGATTACTAGCGAAACCAAAATTGTGGAATAAAAAAATGTCTACGGCCTAATTCTATACATGGAAACCTAATTCTCGAATAAAAATTGATTAGAACATATATATTTTCTTCAGATCGAAACAAAGCAAATCATGGAAATTTTGATCTTCGATTTCTTAAACGAACAAAATTTCGATAGAATTAATGCTAGAAATTTCTGAAACGAGGAGAGATTTGAAGTAAGAAGACAAAAATTTTAGCAGAATGAAATTACCGTCTCCGATCTTAAGCTCGGCGGCGTTCTCCTCTTCCGCGGCCATCTTACTCCGCCTGTCGTCAATCAATTGGGAACAGGTTTTTTTCTTATGGACGAACGTGTTTTTGACTGTTCCGAAATCTGAATGCTCAATTCCTTTACTTTCCTTCTTTTAAAACACTACTCCTATTAAGATTGGCGGTGCATTGCATTGGGCTGGTGGGTTTCGACTTTTCATTTTTTTTCGGCAAGTTTTAGGTGGGCTACGGCCCAGTGCCCCGTCTTGGTTTTGACTCACCAATGCATTCCCACGCTTTGGTGATTTTTTTTTTTTTGGTATAACAACCCTTTGGTGATTTGATATATGGGTATTGTGTTCTCATTAAAAATAAACTTTGGAATTTAAACTAATACTCAATAAACAATCGATTTTAAGTGAATATACTACAAAAAACAAGGAAAACTTTTTGCAAATAAATTTGAGTTTGAACGTTTTATGCTATTTGATGGATATATGTGACGTAATGCAGTACCGTCTTTTCGGCCAATCAACCAATTAAGGAAAGGAGTCTAAGGCTTCAAAAATTTTGGAGCCTCAAAATTTTGTGTAAAGTTCTGTTTTAATCATATGGATTGTAATAGCGGCTTCTACGGATGCAGGTTATCTCTGTCTACGTCAGATTGGAATTTTTCTATCTCCTTCTCTGCTTTTGTCTCACTTGTAGTTTGGATTTTCCTTATGTAATTTTCTGTTTTGACTTTCGGGGCTTGGTCTAGTCCTCCCCGAACGTGTTCTTATTCGTTTCTTCTATCAATAAGATTCGTAAGGGTCGTTTGGACCTTACCCTACGGATTCTGGTGGAGTTTTTCGGGTTTACATATATATATATGGGATTGACTCCAGTGAGATGACATGCTTCGGTGAAATGACGCAAAGGTCACCACATTACAGTGCAAAGCTCACCAATGGCCAATGTAAAGCTCACCTGGAAATAAAGCAAAGCTCACCAATTTGAACACCAAAACTCACCTTTTTATAATTTTGAAAATTAAAAAAATAATTAAAAATAAAATAGCAACATCAGTGAACCACCGGTCAGCAGCGGTGGTGCGGCGAGGACCGGCGGCGGCGGCCGGTGATGGTCAACGGTCAATGGTCAAAGTCTAGTCAGCACCCCTTCCTTTGATTTTATTTTTTTTCAAAAAAAATTCAAAGTGTTGAAAAAATATGGTGAGCTTTGTCTAACAGTTTGGTGAACTATGTAATTGTCTTTGGTGAGCTTTGTAGTGGCCAATGGTAAGTTTTGCGTCATCTAACCGAAGCATGTATGTATGTATGTATGTATGTATGTATGAATGTATGTATGTATGTATGTATGTATGTATGTATGTATGTATGTATGTATGTATGTATGTATGTATGTATGTATGTATGTATGTATGTATGTATGTATGTATGTATGTATGTATATATATAGACACACACACACCCTTTGATTTCAATGACATTAGAAACCAATGTAATCAAATGACTCGGGGTGCTACGGTGCCCATTCATAAAATTGACGGTTCCTATCCCCTGAGTAAAACTCCAACTCGTCCTGGCCTGAATACACTCTTCCACCCCCTTCAATTGCACCCTCAAGTTAAATGCTAAATATTTTTGTTTAGCATGTGAATATAAAGAATCCACACTATCCTTTCCAACAACCATCACAAAGTCAGTTTTCACATAAATCTTTTCTGTGTGAATAAGGGGAACGAAAATTCCATATATGGGCTTCATGGAGATAAGGTACTCCTAATTTGATGGCATAATAATTTGCACGTACTTGCGATGGAAACAACATTTCAAAAAGGATAGGCATGGCATGTGTTGTACCATATGCTAGCATATTTTTGGCAATTAAATTAACAGCAATTTTGTTTTTTTTCCTTTGGCAGGAGGAGAAGTCATCTCAGACTCTTAATAACCTAACTATAGTCATATGTACCAAAATTAATTAAGCTCAAAGTTGACGGGTCAAAGTGATTAGGTTAGAGATGAACAACGTCAGAAAATAATCTTTTGTATATTCATCTCAATCTATCTATCGAGCTGGGCCATGAATATCTAAGAAGAGAAAAAGACTAAAGTATGGTTAAAACATTAAAGTATACTAAAATAGAAGTTTCACGCTTCTATTCTCGAAATAGGAGATAATTACATTTACATTAAGAATTATGTACATTACTAAAAAAACATAGAAATATGCAAATGCACAGTATTACATTACCACAGTACGAACTCCTATTTAGGGAATAAAAACATGGAACTCATATTTTAATTTCAAATCACCATAGAAAAAAGTACCAAAATAGGACTTTAATATTTTTTTCCCGAAATAAGACTATGCACTGCGGTAATCTGACACTATACATGTGCACATTACTATACTTTTTTTGGTAATGTAAATGACCATGTTTGGTAATGTAAGTCCTATTTCGGGGAATAAAAACATGGAAGTTCTATTTTGATATATTTTCAATATTTTAGCCTTACTTTGGTCTTTCTCCCTACTTTAATACTTTCTCCCTACTTTAATACTTTCTCTATGTTTTACTCTTATTTAGCGTGATTTCTTTATCTAAGAATCCATCCTAACTTTTTGCCATAACTTTTTACTCCCTACTCTAAATTTTTGTGCATCCAATAGAATGTTTTTATCTCAATAAAACTTTTTTGAGAATACCGTTCATTTTTTCTTTAATATATGTAAAAATTATTTTGGAGGTATTTTAGATAATTTAGATGGTATGGAAGTGTTTTGTGGAATGCATAAAAAGTTAGGGTAAAATTATTGTGAAACCGAGAGAGTAATGACTCACAACTTGAAAACTTTATAAAGAAACAAACTGTACTAGAGATCGAACAAATTGTGGAAGGAAACAAAATTTTATACAATTACTATCATGTGCTCTCTCCGAGTCATTCTCTATCCCATATTAATTTTCTTGGTTTTTTTCACCTATATATGTAGTTCAATTTAAGAAAAAGTAAAATTTTTTGGTTAAAATTTATGGAGATGGAAGAGAATCAATATGGACCCCTTATTTCCTTCATTTCAAGAAATGAAAAGTTTATTTAAGAACATTCCTAGTTAATTAGTAAATACCCAAGTAAATAGTGCACAAAGATATGTTTATGTAGGGAAAAAAAATTTCTCATCTATGGGGCCCACGTCTATGTACTTAATAGTTTTTCACAAAATCTTTGAAGCATGTTACACCAGTGAATAACAGCATAATGAAACACATTTCTTAAAATTGTTATGACAAAACTTCAAAATTAATACTTATAACTTGAAACCTATCGGAGCTTACTTCGCGGGTATCACACCTTCAAGGCCTCTTCAAACGACGTGTTTGCAATCTTAGTTCTAAAACAAGTTTCTCAATTTCTAGACATTTAGAGAACTAGAGACAACAAGTAAAGATCCATCTCTCTCTTTAGTGCATGCACACATTTCGAGGAAAAACAATGTGTGATTCTTCTTCACACGATGTGAATGTATTTTATAATCTGGGTCATCTCTCTCTCGCTCTCTTTCTCCTATATTTCTTCGTCATTTCTTTGTACGAGACTTGTGGTATTTATACGAACACCTTTAACCCTAACCGAGTAAGAGTAAATGAATTCTTTTTGCAAATCTCAAAGGACTTGGAGCTCTATCTCGACCCGTGACAGTTTAAATAGGATAAGGATTCCAACTTCAAACGTATTCTTTTCCTTGTTTTACACACACTAGGACTCTTCTGCAATCAATAAATATTTCTGAACTAATTGGATGCTTCCAATGCACATTCTCAAAAAATCTAAGCCCCCATATTTTCAAGCACCAAACTTTTTATTTTAAAAAACTTGTCTTAGAGTCCTTTTAAACTTAATTACTTCTATCATTTGCCCAGGGGAAGAAAAATTGAACTTTACTCTTAGAGTGATTAACAAAGACTATGATATGTCTTGTGTATGTCCAACGATTCACACTGCCTATAGTCACTCTTAGCTTCATCGTCATTGTCAAGAGTACAACCCGGGCATTACACTCTTTTGAACTCCGTCCTTATCAATTCAACTAACCAATTTTAAAGTGAAAGTAAGCCCATTTTGTTGGTACGGTGCTTATAACGCGACCTGAGCTCAAAATCCATTCACAACGAGTGGATCTTCACTATAGACTAATATTATAGCTGGACTACTCTAATTTCTGTATGATAAGACTGTACAAATTATCAATATTTTATAAGAATTTTTAAAAAAATGGGAAGATTGGAAAAGTGAAATATATCCTAAAATAAACCAAATTATATAAAATTTATATTATAACTAAATATACTTATTCTAAAATTTGTGATCAAATTTATAAAATTTGGCCAAAGAAAGAAAGACCATAGCTACGAAAAAGAAGCACATATCAAGTTTTGGGTAAAGAAATAAAAATGCAACGAAGTAGAAAGCGCCAAACAAAGAAATTAAAGCATGCAATGACAATTACAAGAACTACCATTATGCCGAATGCCTACCAAACTATCACAGTCCTAGCTCTCTATACGCTCATATAGCTAAGGTCATATCATCAGTATGGATTAGAAGGTTTAGGTCATGTCACATCATTGCAATTCTTCCTATGTCTAACTCTTCCCACATTTGCGCTCCCCACCATAAGCCTCTGGCATCTCTGCACTAAAGCCTTAGTACTCCACCACTTCACTTGTTTAAAATACCTCAATTTAGCTTCTCTCAACTTATCCTCCACATTTGTTACGCAACTTGTCCTTGGATAACCTCATTTAAAATCCTGTCCAATCTTATTTACCAATACATCCAACACAACATCTACATCTCTGCAGCAGGCAACCTATATGGCTTATGAGACTATTACTGCTAATCATATGTTTCTTTTTGTTGATTTGCTTTTTTAAAACTTACTTTCTTAAGAAGAACACCCGAAAAAAGTTTATGAGACCAACAAGCTCCTCAAATACTCTACATACTTCTATGAAAGGACTTAAGAGTATACAACAATGTCAACAATGTCATTGCATCAACTCTTGATTCCTCGGTGATTTATAATCCAGTCTAGAATACAACAATGTCATTGCAACACACAACATCCTAGCAATAATAAGAATAACTCCCCAAACATGCACCTAAGTTAATATCTCAAATTTCATAATAATCCCATCTTAACAAGCATAAATTAATAATTCATCACTAACCTATCTAGGCTAGAGAGGCCTAGCCTGGCATGCTGAATCAAAATGGGAAATAAAAAAGATGCAAATAAATTAAAAGCATGAATGTGATGGAGAAAACGTAATCTATATAATGAAGCAAGTAAATAGTGATTAAAGAGTAAAATATGAAATATTTGAACTCTCTAAATACAATGAGATAAAGATCAAAAACCTTAGTCTAGAATGTGGAAATACAAATGGGGGAGCCCCCATTACAATTTGTGTATTCATATACAACAAAAACAACATAGTAGAATCTCACGAAGAGTAGGGTCTGGTGGTAGTATGTGTCCGCAGACCTTACCCCTACTCAAAAGTATAGAGGTTGTTTCCAAGAGACCTACGACTCGGTAACACGGACAACACAATCACATCCATATAAAGCAAAGAAAGTATAGAGCACAAAATAGTAGAGAACAACTAAAAAGTAATAGAGAAGCACATCAAGCATAAAACACACAAGTAGAAGGCATGCAACCACAAATGGGAAAACTACCACCTAGTGCAACACCCCCATCCAAATACCCTAATCCTAGCTCTCCAAATATTCGTATTTAAAGTCATATCCTCAGTAAAATTCAGAAGTATTAGGTCTTTCCTAATCACGTCCTTCCACTTCTTTTTAAGTCTACTTGTTCCCCTACTCTCACCACCCACTAAGAACCTCTCACACTTCCGCACTAGGGGCTCATCACTCTGTCGTCTCACATGCCTAAACTACCATAATCTCGTTTCCCATAGCTTATCCTCCACCTATGCCACTCCTATCTGTCCTAAGATATTCTTATTTAGAATCTTATCCATTATTGTCTTTCCACTCATCCACCACAGCATTCGCATCTTTAGAGCATTCAGTCGATTAATGGGGTCTTTTTAACTGCCAGCACTCCACAGCGTACAAGATTATTGTTCTAAGTATGGAATGAAATCTTCCTAACACACAGAAGACTTGAAGCCAACCTCCACTTTTTCCAAGTCGCTCCAACACGGTGCGCAACATCCTCTTCCAACTCCCCGTCCTCCTGAAAGACCAAACCATGATATCATAACTTGTCAATCTTAGGCACTAGGTGAGAATAAATCATAACTTCCACATTAGATTCTATCACTTAGCTACTAAAAAAATATTCCACATATTTAGTGTTAGACATACCCAGTCTAAGACCTTTGAGTCCGCAGAAAGGTGCCAAAATTCAAAATCATTATTTTGTCCTTCACAGGTGTCGTCAACCAACACAATATCATTAGCAAATTAAAAAACATGCACGAAAGAACCTCCCCCATGAACTCTCTACAACACGACGTCCATCACCAAAGAAAACAAGAAGGGGCTAAGTGTAAACCCATGGTGTAACCCCACCTCTGCAGAGAACGGCTTTGCGTTATCCCTGACAGTCCTTACCTTTGTCCGATCTTGTCGTCGTACATATCTTTGACTGCACGAATGTATGCAATTGAAATTCCTCTCAACTCAAGACCTCATCACAACAACTTCCTTGACACCCTATTGTACCCATTCTCGAGGTCAATAAACATCATATGAAGGTCCTTCTTTTTAACCATATACTCTTGCATCAACCTCTGAAGGAAGTAAATGACCTCCGTGGCAAACCTGCCCAGCATGAATCCAAACTATTTTTCAAATAATCCTATGTAATGATGTGTGTGTGTGTCTATATATATATATAAATATATATGATCAAATAACCACTACCTGCTACACTGTGATGCAATTAAAGGGATTTGGGAAAAATTTGCTCATCTTACAGAAGGGCCGAGCTACAGACCTCAGATTAGCATCAACCAACACATCCTGGAATGGCACTTGAGATCCGAATCAAAGACGCTAAAGGGAAACCTGAAATTGTTGCTTCCAGGGGTCATAACATGGAGCATCTAGAAACATTATGCATCAATTACATTTGGAAATGAAGATCTAAATATCAAATTCATTGAATCCAACATCAAACAAAACATTAACCTATGGTGTTGGAAAAATTGTCAAAAAGGATGGATGATCTATGACGTCAACCTCCATCGAGTCGGGCTTCAAACGTTTGTACTCGGAGGAAAGATTCTGCACAACGCCATTAGATGAGTTGTTGGACATTATTGGTGGATCACGGAAAGAGAAAGGAATCACGCAGATGTACGCTGATAGTGAAGGTATAGGAAAAGCAGATCCTACGCACTGGGCTTTTTTCTTGTCTTCTCTGCTTCCTTCTCTTATTTGTATGTATTTTTTTATTGAAATATTTGCACTAAATAGCACTAAAACTTAAGTCATTTCTCTAAATAACACTTAAATTGTTTTATTCCCTAAATATCACTTAATAATGTCCATAATGTCCTGTGATGGCGAATATTTACTTGAATAATGACTACTTCATAATGACTAAAAGTGCTACATTGGGAAGAAAAAACACATGTGGTGCTATTTAGGGAAAGTCATTATGTTTTAGTGCTATTTAAGTAAATTCCTCTTTCTTATTTTATTTTTACATTTAACTTTCGGGGCTTTGGTCTAGTTCTCCCCGAACGTGTAATCCCATTTACTTTCGGGGCTTTGGTTTAGTCCTCCCCGAACGTGTACTTTATAAGTTATTGTGAAATAAATTTGGTAAGGGCTGGCTTTTGGTGGACTTTTTGGGCTATATATATATATATATATATATATATATATATATATATATAGGGATTGATACTAGTCAGATGACACCTAACGGTGAGATGACGCAAAGCTCACCACTGGCCGCTGCAAAACTCACCAAATACAATTACAAAACTTACCAAACTGTAAGGAAAAGCTCACCATATAATCATACCCTCTTTGTATAGTGTCATGGACCGGATATATTGGTGATTTTGGTTTATGCTGATGATAGACTTGTGGCATGAAATTATAATCCTTTTGTGTGTTCTTCCTTCAAGACTTATTTGAATGATTTCTTTAATTTGAAGGACCTGGGTCCTGTCTTGTATTTTTTAGGAATTGAATGTGTCAGGTCTACGGAGGGAATGGTTCTGAATCAATGCAAGTATGCCCTTGACATTATTCAGGAAGCTGGTTTATCAGGTTGTAAGCCTGTGGATACCCTTATTCAACTTGGTCATACTCTTGCCACGACGAGTAGTGCTGAGATAAAGGATCCTACGAAATATCGCAGGCTAGTTGGGTGATTGTTGTACCTTCTATTACTCGTCTAGATATTTGTTTTTCTGTTCACGTTCTGTCATAGTTTATGCAAGCATCGCAAGTAGATCATCTCAATACTGCTTTACGGGTTGTTAGATATTTAAAGGGGCATCCAGGTCAGGGAATTCGGTTAAGAAGTGATTATAATCTAGTTCTCACGGCCTATTTTGATTGAGATTGGGCAAGTTATCCTCTCACTCACCATTCTGTTACTAGCACTATTTTGTTATGTTGGTAGAGTCACCTAAATATATTAGTGTTTCTCTCTCTTCTGCTGAAGCTGAGTATCGCGCTAAGGCTAATGCATATAATGACATTCGCTGGATACGAGGTATATACTTTGACTGCGTTAATGGTTCCTTTCGTCGCTACTCCTTGGTTATATTGTGATAATAAGCCTTCTTTATATATTGTTGCGAATCCTGTCTTTCCTGAACAATCTAAACACATTTATATCGATTGTCACGTTGTTCGCGAATGTGTTCAACGGAAGCATGTTGCTAGTTCCTATTTTCCTACAAAACTACATGTGTCGGATATCTTCACGAAGGCTGTGGCTGGACCTCTCTTCTGCTTCTTATTATATAATTGGGCATTCTTGATATTCATGCTCCAGCTTGAGGGGAATATTGGAATATATTTAGGTATATATTTTGTATATATGTAGTTTCCTTGTATAGGAAAGTTTCCTTTGTTAGTTTGAAGATATCACTTTGCATACGTAACAACTTCCACCTAATGAGAAAGTAATCAATTCACTTCCAAAATTCTTCAAATTCCACATCCTTACTTTCCTTAAATCTAACCGAACATATTGCAACAATCTTCTACGCTCTGTCCATTTTGGCATTTCTCTAATCCTACTAGCTTCAATTCACGTCGCTTCACCTTGGTCAAAATTCTACAACCGCTTCACCTCCCAAAAATCAAAAGAGAAAATATTTTACAGACGGAAGAAGTACATTTTTTTCCCATTCATTCATTTGGCCAGCTCCCCATAATTATTTGCTTTCGCCACTAGAAAAGGATTCCCATTAGGATAGTAATATTCTCTTTTCACATATGCCTCACCATACATCTTTTGTGAAAGCTCCACCACCAACGTACCCCATCGATCTCTTCTCATACATCTCATCATGTAATAACCCCAAGATAAAAACATATATATACACAAAGTATATATCCATTATTCATATCATATAAAGGAAAAAAGATCCCAAATAAAAAAGAAAGAAGATATAGAAATATAATTAAAGCTGCTGCCAACCAATGGATATCTCTTCCTCCTCCTCCTTAGAAAGGGTTGGTTATGTTCAGTGCAATTTCTGCAACACTATTCTCGCGGTATTATTCATATACTTAAACTACTCTCCCTTTCTCTAATTATCTTTTGTGTGTGTGTGTGTGTGTGTGTGTGTGTGTGTGTGTGTGTATACCCATCCAAATATAAGATATAATTAATTCCCCATAAATGCATATAATATATATATATACACATAAATACTAGCTGAGTTGCTTGGCTGTGATGATTTCAATTTTTAAAACTTGAAGTTATTTTTTTTAATTTTTAATTTTATGCTATTTAATTTTCTGGTTTGTGTTATGTGGATGAGTTGGTTTGGATCTTCAAGAACTGATTGAAGAAGTTGATGAAATGGGAAAGGGTAAAGGGTAATTTCCCAATTCAGTAACGTACGTAACCCTAATGTGAACCGAAAGGAAAAGGTCACCATTAAATTATTAGTCATAGATGAAGAATTGAAGTTGCCTGGTTATTAATTGAGGCAAAGGGAAAAAAGTTTTTACTCTATTTATTTATTTTATTGTCCTTCACATTTAATTATTTTAGATTATTATTATGATTATATAATTAGGGTTCTTATTCATTTTTTAAAAAAATTACCCAAAATTTGTGTAAAATACGGCCCTTATCTCTAAAATAGGAGCTTTATATTTTTATCTTTAAAATACTACGGAGTAGTTTGCATTATGATAATGTGATATTGTATATTGGCTTTCCACAATCTTTTTCCTTTTTGAATGTTTTTTATTTAATCATTTCATTTTCTTTCTAATTCTTGTTCATTGTTTTTCCTCCACACAAATTTGAACAATATTACGGAGTATTTCGTATTTCTTAAATTTCATATAAAGTCAAACTTGAAAGGTTATTTTATTTAGGGATATTAAGGAGTAATTTTCTTAAATAGGATTAAAACATAATGACTTTCTCACCAATGTAGAACCATTGGTCATTATATATTAGTCATTATTCAACTAAATGTCCAGCATCACTTGGACATTATTCTTCTCACTAGTCATTATTACGTCCTATTTAGAGAATAAAAAAGTGTAAGTCCTATATTGAGAAATGACTTATGTTGTAGTCATATTTAGTGCAAATTTCACTAGTAAGATTAGTACTTTCTCCCAAAAATAGTCGCCTGTTTTAATTTTTTGTACACTCAAATATGATGACCTTTGATTATCAATTAAACAAGAATGCTATTACATATATTAATGCCCAAACAATTTTGTTAGATTTATTCTGCAAAAAAGCTTTAAAAAAATTACTCGTATTTTATTGCAGTAATATACAATGTCATCTTTATTTAACAGATTATCTGATAGAATTTGGGATGTACTCTAACATTATCATAATCTATTTAGCTTAATTTAAAAAAGGGTCAAATTTAGATGACCAAAAAAGCCCATCCAATTCGAATTTAACTAACATCTAAAACAAGGAGAGTAACATTGTGTCTAGATGGTCTGATAAAATATTTATAGTCCAAACAAATACTCCCTTCGTCCCAAAATATTTACAATATTTGTTTTTTCAGCAGTCGCAAGAACTTTTGTTTATTTCTACGTTTTCATTAGTTATTTGATAAAATAAAATATTCTTGACACCTCTTATTCCAAAAAAATTTTCATGTAGTTTTTTGATATGTAAATTTTATTTTTTATTTCTATACCAATATGTAAATAAAAAGAATTGAAAAAACTGAATATTTTATCTCAGGAATACAAGTATGGCTACAGTATAATAAAGCTATCAGCCTATCTGTCATAAAAAAAAGAAGTTACGTAATCATTATGTACTCTCTCCGCCCACCTAAAATCTTCTTATTACACATTACGAGGCTTACTAACTTTATTTTAAATTCAATTTAGTTAATTATAGAGGTAAATTTTAAAAATAAAATTTATATACTCCCTACGTCCCTGAAAACATGGAAGACTTTAATTTTACCTATCACATCATATCTATACAGTATATTTTGGTGCTGAGTTTCCAAAAATGTTTTTAGATGTGATAGATAAAAGTAAAATGTGATAGATAGATTAATAGTGTATAGATATGATGTGATGGGTAGGTTAAGAATCAGTAAGGTTAAAAGTGATTTTTCAATTGAAATGAGAAAAGTTTTTTGGATGAAGAAAAAAGAAAGAAGAAAAAATTTTCCAAGGGCAGAGGGAGTAGTAAAAACCTACTTGAAAAGTTATATAAAATTAGAAATGACGGGATTATATTATTTTAAGAAATGATTAGTAAAAATAAGTAAGGAAAGTAAATTAAATTTGACATTATGAATAGTATCTAGAAAGACGTACGGTGGATATAGAAAGAATTACACAAGTAGCGTGAAGAGTTGAAAATAGGGTCATGCTAGGGGTACACCAAAGGTGTACCCCATTTGTTCACCACCCTTCAATAACCACTCATTTATTTTTGATTTTTATTTACTTATTTTTTTTAATTTTCTTGCCTAATTGACTGGTAATGGAGGGGGTGGGGGACAAATGGGGTACACCAAAGGTATACCCCTAGCATTTTCCTTGAAAATATTGGGATGAGTTGAGGTAGAATGGTGGTGGGTTCTTCTGTTCACACCATTAAATTCAATTTCCAAATCCAGTAACCTTTCCAAGTGCTTCTCGTTTATATAATGTCTTCTGCCTATTCCTTTATGGCTTTCTTTTTAGAAATTTCTGTACATTTTAATTTATTTCTCCCTCACTGCATAAATAGGTCCCTGATCTTATTTTGTTAAGTTCAGTTCATTAGTATTGATCGGAAAGAACATATCTTAAAATATAAAAAAAATCCTTCTCCGTAATGAAAAGTTGAATAGTCTAATTTTAGGAATAACAAAATAATACTCCGTAATAGTAATAATAATAATAATAATGATAATAATAATAATAATAATAATAATAATAATAATTATGATGATAATGATAACATACCATATACAACCTCGGTCCTAATTTTTTTCTTTCTCAGTGCCAATGTGAAAATCCCAAATTGACTTCTTGCATCCGATCCACATTGTGTATAATCACTAATAAATTATGGAAAATATACTTAAATATGACTAAAACATAATGACTTTCTTAATATAGAACGATGTGTTTTTATTTTTCAATGTCGGACCATGGGTCAATATTCATTAGCCATTATTCAAGTAGATGTCCATCATTACTAGACATTATTTCTCCCACCAAACATAATGAAGTACTCCTTCCGTTTCTTAAAACGGTTCTTGTTTTGACATTATGTCGGTACCGAATGAGTTTATGTATAAAACCGAAATTAAACCGTACCGGACCGCTTGACCAGTAACGATATGGTACGAGCTCTTTAAAAATAATAAACCGTCACGAATCATGCCCATCCTATTCAAAACTAGCAGATATTTTAGTTTATTTGCACGTTTGATTGATTCTTAAATAAAATAAATATTCTTAATAAATCTTATTCTGTCAAAATCTTAACGTAATTTTTAATATACTCCATCGCAGGGATTTATTTCAAGGAGAAAGCAAAAAAGAAACAGGGATTTATTTGAAGAGAAAAGGGAATTTTTTGGGGAAAATGGGGAATGAAAAAGTATGGGATGGATAGTGTAGTATGGAAAAATGATTATTAGATGGATAGTGTAGAATGAAATTGTGTAGTGTAGTTCCCATAAAAACCTTTCAGTTGACCAAAATATCTCTCCCTTAAATCCTCAAAAAGTCAAAAATGGAACTTTCTTTAGGGACGGAGGGAGTAGATGTTTACTTCTAAATTCTATACATATCTTTAAATGAAATTTGGGTACCCTATATAAGATTTTGAGACGAGAGATCGAGAATATTGAATAGTACCTCTTATTTAGAATAGACAAACAAAAATAGTAATGATGAAATATATACGATTGTAATTATGAATAATTTATGAGTTATTAGTTGGGGGTGGTAGTTAAATAATTACTTTTTTGTCAAGAGGGAGTACTACTACTAGCTAGTAAGTTAAAAGTATAAGGTCAAGTCATGTCATTTTCCTTTTGGGTCTTCGTCTTTCCCCTCTCTTTTTCCTTCTGAATCACTGATATGATATGAGCAAATTCACATTGTTTGTACGTACCATAAAGACATAAAGTCATCAGTAGCTCATAATGAACATCCAAATCATAAATATCGAAGAAAATTCAAAATATTCACTTAATTCCAATTTAGTTTTTTCTTCAGATTCTAGATAGGGTTCTACAAGATTTGAAATCACATTTTGAGTTCTGAAATTTGCGCACCAAAAAGGACATGATCCAGAGGGTGTTACGGTATTTCCGCAAAACGTTACAACATCCGTTGTAACAACCTACTTTCATAATACAGAAAAGTAAGAAGACGTAAAGAATGACACCATATATGTTTATGCATGCACTTCAAAGAAATTCTTCTAATCTATGGAATCCACATTCCTTAACTAGCCTTTCACTAAATCACTAATTGTAAATTACACCGGTCATAATATGATGATGAGACCAACTTCTCTGAATCATTGTGAAAAAATCTCTAATCTAGAACTTTTAACTCCTACAGTGTACGGATCCGAGAAACTCTAGGATGCGACGAGAACGAAGCTTCTTTGATTAGCATATATATATATATATATATATATATATATATATATATATATATATATATATATATATATATATATATATATATTCTGTATTTTTTCCCTCTTGATTGCTCCAAATAAACCTAAATTTCATTTTGACTATTTAGATGGTGAATTGTATTTTTTTTTTCATTTCACTTAACTGTTAAAATCATTTGTTAGTATAGAATAAAAGAATTTGCTGGTGTATGTATTAACAATAAAAACATTATGGATATGCATAAATGATATATATATATATATATATATATATATATATATATATATATATATATATATATATACACTGAATATATGTTATATAATTAGGTGAGTGTTCCGGGGTGCAGCAGTATATTCAGTTTGGTGACAGTGAGATGTGGGCACTGTTGTAATTTGCTCTCTGTGACTATGCCATCTGCTAACAATTTGCTTCATCCCCCTCTCCCTCTTCAACATTTCATCCTCCACCAGGTACATTAATTTTTATCACATGCATTATCTGTATATTTAATTCTCCTAATTTGGTTTTAAATAAAGATTCTTTTTTAAATAAAAAAAAGTGTTAAAAGTAAAAAATGGTAATTGAAATTTATTTAAAAGAATGGGGTAAATTCAATACGTTGTCCTTTGTAAAATGAGATGTTTTATGTGTGTTTTAAGATTTGAGAATTATAATACTCCCTTTGTCTTAAAATTAACTTCGCAGTTTTACTTCTTTAATTAAACTTGTTAAACATTGACCGCATATTACGGAAAAAATACATTGAATTTCATACTCCGTATAAGTTTTTTATCAATATATTCATTTTAAAACATAGTTTTGAAATTTATTAATTTTATAAAATGTATGGAGTATTTTATATAAAAATAGAAATATTGATGGTCAAAGTGTTGCATTGGAGACTGTAAAAAAGTCAAATAGAAGTAAATTTTAGGACGGGAGAGTATAATTAGTCTTTTAGTCAAAAATATTGTTTCCCACTTATAGTCTACTATACAAAAGATTGATTATAGAATGATTTGCAATTTTTTTTTGAATTGAAGATATATACTACCTCCGTTTCTCAAAAGAGTTCATTTTTTGACTTTGGGGGAAAATAAGAAAGTGTTAAATTGTAGTTGACTTTCCAATTTTGCCCTTGATGTGATGGGTAAAAGTAAGATATGATAGTTTAGTTGTTAGTGAAAAAGTATGATGTGATAGGTAGGGTATGAAAAAGTAGGGGGTAAAAGTAGTTTTTTAATAGAAAACGGAAGTGTTTTAAGAAAAACAAAAAAAATAAAAGAGGAAGACTTTTAAGAAACGGAGGGAGTAAAAAATGTATTCCCTCCGTTTGGAAAAACCCTTCCCATTTTGATTGGGGCAAAAATAAGGAAGTGTTAAATTGTAGTTGATTTCCAATTTTGCCCCTGATATGATGGGTAAAAGTAAGATGTGATGGATAGATTATTAGAGAAAAAGTATGATGTGATAGGTAGGGTATGAAAAAGTAAGGGTACGAGTGGTTTTTTAATAGAAAAGGGAAGTGTTTTGTTGGAAGTGGAAAAAAGGAAAGAGGAAGTGTTTTTGAAAACAGAGGGAGTACTATTTTGATTATTTTTTTGTGAACGATCGATCATTTCATATTCTCTACATATAAGTATAATAAATGAACTACAAACAACCATGTGGGAAGATTTCTTGATCTCTCCATAGCTAGAGTAACGTTCTTGCATAATCTTAATAATCAAGACTAATTAATGTTTTGGGTGTAATTCAATTATAATGGAGAATGAGGAGAAAGAGATATGGAAGAGTGAAGATGGGACAGGGTCGTCAAAGATAAAAAATGCAGAAGATGATGATCATGAAGAGGAGGTGGAGGAAGAAGAAGAAGCAAGACTCACCCACATACGCCGTACGTATATATATATATATGCTATACATTCACTTCAATAGTAAGCGTTTTTAAAAACACTTACTATTTCATTTTTTCTACTTCCTATTAAAAATCTACTTTTACACTTATTTTTCATACCTAGTTATCATATCATACTTTTTTTCTAATAATTTGTCCATCACATCTTACTTTTACGCATCACATCAAGAACAAAATTAGAAGTCAACTACAATTTCACACTTCCTTCATTTTTTGCTTGGTAAAAAGTGGAACTCTTTTCAACAAGGGAAAGAGCAATAAGATTAGATGTGATAAAGAAATTATTAGTAAATAAATACTTCCTCCGCCCACCAAAGATCTTTTCATTACGTGTTACAAGGTTTAACTGACTTTATTTTCAAATCAATTTTATTTGATTATAGAGGTGAAATTTAAAAAATAAAATTTATATAGAAAAATAATACATGAAAAGTCCTATAAAAGTAGAGGTGACAAGATTATATTATTTAATGAAATAAGTAGTAAAAGTAAGCAAACAAAGTGAGTTAAATTTGACCCTATAAATAGTATCTGTAAAGATCTATGACAAACGGAAGAGGTATGATCTAATACGTAGATTATTAATTTTTAATTATTACTCTCTCCGTTTTTAAAAAGACTTCCTATTTAGACCAAATGTAGTTGACTTCCAATTTTGCTTTTAATGTAATGGAATAGGTAGAGTATGAAAAAGTAAGGATAAAAGTGATTTTTTAATAAAAAGTAAATGTGTTTTGTTGAAATTAAAAAAAAAAGAAAGAGAAAGTGTTTTCGAAAACGGATGAAGTAGGAAAAAAAAGATTTTAATTGAAAGTCGTAGAAATACAAGTTTTTTGAGACGAATGAAAATTGAAAGTAGTAACATTTTAATAGAAAAAGTTAGAATTTTGTGAAACAAAAGAAGGAAAAAGAAAGGAGATAAGTTTTTGGGAGGGAGGGAGAGAATAGATTGTACTCCCTCCGTCCCGAAAGAATGACACGTTTACTATTCTGACCTCTCGATAACTTTTGTTTGTTTACTCGTTTTGGTTGACTATTTGATAAAATAAAATATTCTTGTCGAATCTTGCTTTGTAGAGCTTTTTCATATACTTTTGAATGGTGTAATTTTTACTTTTTATTACTTTACTAATTTGAAATTAAAGTAATTTTAAAAGAGATAATATTTTGCACGTCGTTCGAAGTGTTGCAAATAAATTGGGACGGAGGGAGTAAGATTCTTTTGAGAACAAAGCTAGGTAAGCATTAAAGAAAAAAGAAAAGCTTGCTTGGTAATTGGTATGAGCAAAATGTTGGGGATTCCTCCAAGTCCCACACCGGAGAGAGAAGAAAAAATGGACCAAAATATATAGATTCAACCAACCCCATTAGTATGAGGCCTTTTGGGAAGTGCCCAGAAACAAATCCGTGAGGGCTTGGCCCAGAGCGGACAATATCATACTAATGCGGGGTTGGGGTGAGGGCACACGCAGTCCCAACACAAAAGTGAGAGAGTGGGAGGAAGTCGAGGCAGACAGGCAAATGTATGGAGCAAGTGTAAATCCGATCTATCTATGCCCCACCGTTAATTAGTAGTTCGATGACTGATGTTGATAGTGACAAATCATAGGCATCCAACTCAGTAACTAATTAATGAATTGGAAGCATGCATTACTGCGTCCCCTGCACCCGGACGTACGGTACCCATCCCTTAACCCTAAGGTCTATTCTTGGCATAAATATGTTAACCTAGCTACCTTCTGTCACGTCCACACCACCCCAAATTACAAATTTGCTAGGGTATACTAGATGATCCTCTTTTTTAATTTGTACCTTCACATGTGATAATTGTCTATGAACGGTCCCTCCGTTTCTAATTTGATTATAAATTAGAGTTTACGAGGAAAATTATCTCACTATTTGAAATTATTTTATTTTTAAAATTAGTATATCGATAAAAAATAAAAATTATATACTCCCTCCGTCCCGCAAAAAACTTCCCATTTTGATTTTTAAAGGGGAGTTTATTTTGGTGTTGACTTTCCAAAAATGCCCTTTGATATGATGGATAAAGTAGGATGTGATGGATAGATTAATAAAGAAAAAGTGTGATGTAATAGCTATGTTAAGAATTAATAAGGATAAAAGTGGTTTTTTTAATAGAAAAGGGAAGGGTTTTTTGGGAGGGATAAAAAAGGAAAGGGAAAAGGGTTTTGTGGGACGGTGGGAGTATTAAAAAACTACGTCAAAAGTTCTACAAAACAAGAGGTGACAAGAATATTTTATTTTATCAAATACTTAATGAAATTGCGTAAATAAACCAATGGGGACCGAGGGAGTAAAACTTATATTCCCTCCGTCCTAAAAAATCTTTCTCCTTTCTTTTTTCATCCGTCTCAAAGAACTTTATCTCAATTCTATTAAAAAATCATTTTTATCCCAACTACTTCTTAACCAACCTATCAAATCGACTCACTATTAATCTACCCATCAAATCTTACTTTTACCAATCACATCCAAGGTACACTCCTTTTAAATTCTTTAAAAATCAAAATCTCTCATGTTTTCAGGTACGGAGGGAGTAGGTGATAATCAACTTTTTATTTGTGAATTCACATACGAGTGTTAAGGACAATGTCAACGGTGGTAGATTTCTAGCATGACATACTCCCCAAATTATCTTGCTCTAAAAAATCTTTAACTCCTCCATTCTCTACCACATGGATTAGCTTAGTTTATTAGGTTTATACATTTCCTCCATTTGGAACTATATGCAATAATGAATCCTCCTCACGCGTAGGATGATGAACTTTTTTTAAAGAGATGTAAGTTTTGAATGAAATTCATACTTTAGAACAACTCTCCCCATTTCTTTTTAAGTGTCTGGTTCACTTTTCGAATATATATAATATTTGACCAATAAAATTTCTTAAAACATATTATTAGCAAAAAATTATTTAAGAATATAGTATTAAAAATATTTTTCTTTACCAACTGTTTGGTATAATTTTTATATTTTAATTCATCGTATATTTATAAACTTCCTCTATCTCTGAAAATCTCTCCCCTTTCTTTTTGTTGAGACTCAAATAATATGAAAGGAAAAATATTCCGTGTATTTCTTCTGTGTGTTCGAGTACAAATGAGCCATGCATATATAAGTGGCAGTAGCCTATACAAGGTAAAAGGCTATACAAGGTAAACAAAATCAGTAGCATATATACAAAAGCAAATTCCTATAACAGCTCCATGATGTGCGCAGCTCCGGCAGTTTCCAAATCATGTGGATTTCCTTGATATTGATAATAATATAATTAACATAAATATCCTTAACACCCCCCCACAAGTTGGAGCATGTAGTAGACAAATGCCCAACTTGGGGAGTAAAATGTCAAAGCGACCCTTGCCAAGGGCCTTGGTGAGAATATCCGCACATTGATTATGTGTGGAAACATGAGAGGTACGGATATACCCACGTAATAACTCATCCCGAATGAAATGACAATCAATTTCGATATGTTTTGTGCACTAGTGAAAAACTGGATTTGCCGCGATGTGAAGAGCGGCTGTACT